CCTGATTTTTAGCTCTTTCCACATATGTTTTTTCAATGTTTGATGCACCAATATGTTGCACTTTGAGACACAGTTTTGAGACACAGTTAATCTCTAAAATATGATTTATTTGGGATAAAGTGGAAAACAGTACATGTATTTCCCATGTTAATTTCCCATAGGGAAAACTCATGTGACCCATTGTTTTCAGCTAAATTTTGGTAATTCAAAATTGATATCTTTAAAACCCCTGCATGAATCATATTTTCATTTAAAACGCAACAGAGTGATCGATGCAACAAACATTGAAAAACAGGTGTGGAAAGGGCTGGAAATCAGGACAACATTACAGAAAAAACATGTTGATGGGGTGCAAATTTGCACCTTCCCTGACTTAAAGTCCAAATTATTTTATAATCTCTATGATTGCTTGTCCTGGAGTTTATGCATTGGCCTAACATATGCACCTGTTCAAATCCTCAGAAAATAGCCAAAATCCAATATATGACTGAAATCTGTTGCGATACCGTCTGTGGTCCTTTAAAAGAAAGTTATTTCTAGTTGCATAGAGTAGTTTTCATTCTCATCAATACATCTTTGCCTTGAAATCATTCGTGAAACATGTGGTTTGAACTTTATGGAAATTTGCTTTATTTTGACACACCTTTGTTTAACTTATACTGTCTTTAAGGCTGCCTTATCTGAAACCCCGAAGTGTCTCTTGTTTCAAATGTTTAAACAATCAAGTCTCGTCTTGCCTTTATTTCAAACTCTAATTTCCAGACTCGAGTCCAATCAAAAATGAATTATCTACATGGAAGTTTGTGAAGTCCTTTATTTCTGAAACTGTTTTCAATACTTAATATTTTCAGGTAACTGCTTTACAAAATTATTGTGCATTGTGAATCTTCATTACCTATCTGATACATATTTTCCTCAGCAAACTTTATTTTCATAGAACACATGATGAATCTTTTATTCCACATTCTCAATTTTGCATCAATTATGTTTCAAGGATTTATTTCCCTGGCTCACTATGAAGGATTCCATTGACATTAAAATATGTCATGGGAAAGTAGGTCATAAGAAAGAGGAACACTGAGTTCCACCCATTCCAATGATGCTAAGATAAGTCATGAATCTTATATCATAAATGTGTTTTAAATCAACTTGTTTACCTGAAAATAAAATGTGGTCACAGCTTTTCTGAACATGCGGATGTACCCGAATGGTGTCTTATTCATAATGTAATAAATGAAATCATTGTGGTATGTATGTGGAGTCTATTTCCCTTATAATAATACATTTACTTTAGTACAAGGATTCTCTCCTAATATTATTTCCTTATAAATATCCAAACTTTAATCAAAAGCAGTTTCAAAATTATCGTATATTGTATTTCACCTAAAATATCGTATATGGTATAAGAGCTGTGAAAAATATTGTATATGGTATAAAAGGGGTGAAAAAATATTGTATATGGTATAAGAGAGCTGAAAAATATTGTATATGCATTTCCAAGACCCTCTATACACCCCCCCCCCCCCCCTAGATGAAGGACTTCCCACTATCCGTGCTTACAACAGGGGTTTACGTAAAACACCGACCGCCGACCACCGACCAGTCACTCTCCACAGTTGGGTACATGTGGTCGGTGGTCGGCTGACGGTCTTTTACATAAAGATGAAAAAATGCAAAATTAGAAGTAAAACTAAAACTGGGAATCCAATGACTATAGTACCTTTACTAGGTCGTGATTTAAAAACGTATAATTATCATTTCAAATCACGATGAAAACGTTACATCGTCGTGGTGTGTAATGTCATATTTTTAAGTGATGTTTCAGTTGTTAGAAGACCAATTTCATCCTGGTAAGTCACTTTGGAAAAAAAACGCACGTAACATTGCATTAAGTTCATTCTTCATTCATATGAAACGCAATAACAAAAACACACAAACATCGTCGATGTTGACATTGTAACATTATGTTTGATTTCTCAGTTGTTAAACGTCAACTGGTAAAAACTACATTTGATATGACAAAAAAAAGCTTTATAATGGTGTACTGAAATGGTAAGTCACTTTTAATCCCGATAAGAGAACGCATGTAACCTTATATCGTGTTCAGTATTCAGTAGGCTATGACGATAACAAATCATTTTTGTTTCGAAATTGTTAAATTTCAGTAAAAAATTAGGATAGATTCCCGTAGAAATGATAGGTTGGTTAATGATAGGTTAGGACCTAAGGCAGGACAATTAATCGAGAGGAGACGGTCATGACCAATTTGTTTGCTTGCCATTCGTTGCAAGGTACAAAATCGGTAAAAAACGTTGCCTAGTCCAACGATTGACATTCAAAATCAAATTATTAATATTCTAAGGCTACAAATATGTTCGGTCTTTTACATGATATGGTCGGTCTTTTACACATTTTCTTCAAACCCTGTTTTGAGGCTACCAGTGGAAAACACCGACTGGTCGGTGGGGTTGGTCTTTTCCGTAAACCCTTACAACAGTACACATCGTTTGTATGACATGTGATTTTTATTGATAAACTGACTCCAAAATCAAGGAAAAATAAATCACATGCTATCTATTGCAAGACTTACACCTACCACAACCATCGCCATGTTAATTAGTGTTTTTAAGTAGCGCAAGGATCCTGCCATGACCGTGGTAGTGTTATCTTGTAAGCCTGGTATAACCGTGACAGGCTGGTATAACCCTGACAATGCTGTATTATATTGCAAGGCCTGTCATGACCCTGGAAGTGTTATCGTGGAAGCCTGGCGCGACCGTAGCCTTTATTGTGGTTTATAAGCGAATGTAAATATTAATGTATAGTAGTAATTTTGATTTTGACATGATTAAGGTAGTTAAACACCATGATCATAGTATTAAACTGTTTAATTGTCATGACGATCACTTAAAATTGTTAAGGATATTCATTAATGTCATACATATTTACTAGTCATTGCAATACATTATATACCCTTTGCATTCGTTTGACTTCACTTCTTAAAAGAGAGCTTCGTCTTCAACTAGAAGAAGATAGTAGTTTAACTAGACTCTGCACGCAGGGTATACATTATAACGGTCATAGTAGGACTAAGCCTAAATTTCTACATTACCACCCTCATACCTGAACTTGGAATACTATATCACATTGCCACGGCGGTCATACCAAGCCTTGCAATACTATATAACATTGTCACGGCCATGCCAGGCCTTGCAGTACTATATTACATTGCCACGGTCATGCCAGGCCTTGCAGAACAATATATAATATTGTCACGGTCATGCCAGGCCTTGCAGTACTATATTACATTGTCACGGTCATGCCAGGCCTTGCAGTACTATATAACATTGTCACGGTCATGCCAGGCCTTGCAGAACAATATATGATATTGTCATGGTCATGCAAGGCCTTGCAGTACTATATTACATTGTCACGGTCATGGCAGGCATTGCAATATAATACAGCATTGTCGCTGTTATACCAGGCTTTCACGATAACATTACCACGGTCATGGCAGGATCCTTGCGCTACTACTTTTTTCAAGGCCTGACTGCGTTGCTAACATGCTAAATATAAGAGTTAGCTGACGTTTGGGAGTCTGACTTACCTTCTAAAGGTTAGAACCCGAATTTTAATGAAATCATATCACCTTTGTTGCGTCGATGATGATGCATAAACATAGCATTTGATAGAAATTAGCGTAAATGCTTTTCCGACTTTTTCATTTTTCATCAATGTTGACTTCCGGGAAGGCGTTGTAGTTATCACGAAATAACGCATTGACCCTTGAACTTTACTTTGTTGACGTGTCAACCAAGCATGTCTGGTGTGAAAATTAAAAGAATATTAAGCTTTTTCGTATTGAAACTTCCGGAACTTACAAGGAAATCATTCATTTTCTCGATCCATGATTTACCTCTTGGATGTTGTGGCAAATGCTCCATGGTTGACGGAACAAAGGTGATATGGTTTCATTAAGATTTGGGTTCTAACCTTTAGAAGGTAAGTCAGACTCCCAAACGTCAGCTAACTCTTATATTTAGCATGTTAGCGACGAAGTCAGGCCTTGAAAAAAGTAGTACTTAAAAACACTGAATAACATGGTGACGGTTACGCCAGGCGTTTCTACTTTTTTCAAGGCCTGACTGCGTCGCTAACATGCTAAATATAAGAGTTAGCTGACGTTTGGGAGTCTGACTTACCTTCTAAAGGTTAGAACCCGAATCTTAATGAAACCATATCACCTTTGTTCCGTCAACCATGGAGCATTTGCCACAACATCCAAGAGGTAAATCATGGATCGAGAAAATGAATGATTTCCTTGTAAGTTCCGGAAGTTTCAATACGAAAAATTACCGAACATATGTGAAAACCGAATATTTGTTCGTTGTTTTCACGATTTACAGGTTCGTTTGTTCTTCAATGTTTTGGTCTAAATTATAAAGCATCACCAACAGGTCTTACTCTATTAATCGACTAATACAGCAGACGCTCATATTTCTACGTACTTCACTTGAAATTGGTAATTTTAAATATTGACTACTTCACTTAGCTTGGCGGATGTAGAACATTGCTTAATATTCTTTTAATTTTCACACCAGACATGCTTGGTTGACACGTCAACAAAGTAAAGTTCAAGGGTCAATGCGTTATTTCGTGATAACTACAACGCCTTCCCGGAAGTCAACATTGATGAAAAATGAAAAAGTCGGAAAAGCATTTACGCTAATTTCTATCAAATGCTATGTTTATGCATCATCATCGACGCAACAAAGGTGATATGGTTTCATTAAGATTCGGGTTCTAACCTTTAGAAGGTAAGTCAGACTCCCAAACGTCAGGTAACTCTTATATTTAGCATGTTAGCGACGCAGTCAGGCCTTGAAAAAAGTAGTAGTCTTGCAACAGATAGGGTCTCAAATAAATTTTCCGAAGATCTCGTGTCTTGTCCTTGAGTATATTTATTGAGCCTAGACACAGAGGAGATCCGTGGGCCTTACCTGGATGAAGTTTCGTCAGATTTGCTGCTTGGACAAGATGGCGGAACTGGGCCTGAAGGGTCTGTTCCTCCACTATTCGCAGCAAGCAATGTCGCTACAGACACTAGCCAACCACCCAGCTTGATAGCATGCATCCTTATCGCATGGCTCCCCTTAATCACATGTAAATGCGATTCATGATCTGTAATACCTCAATTCTTTGAAAGTACAGCGCTGCTTTTAGTCTGACCATCTGAATGTTTACGTTTTTCAGTACAAGACTTTTGCTGAAATAATATTTAAAAGGAAAATACATACAAATCAAATTATACTTCGTTTTTGATGTTTTCCGATTGTTTATTAAGCATAAGGGCCTTCAATGAGAGTAACATTCGATCTCATATTTGGACGTTAATGATTTACAATATCTTTCAAATATTCAAGCATTATGCTTTTCCTAGTATGATGTCATCCTTACGTGGCCTAATTTACTTCCGGCAAGGGACCGATCATTTTCAAGGAAGAATAATTTGAACATCAGTTCCCCCAAATGTATCTGCTGAATCAAGACTTGTTGAGAGAATTTCTTGACTTATATATAAATTAATATATTTTAGAGTACAGGGGCGGATCCGGAAACCAACAAGGGGGGGGGGCTCAAAAATTTTTGGGCCCCTAAAACCCAAAAGTGGGCCCAAATTTTGAAATTTTTAGGCTCATTTTCTTCAAAATTTGGCCTGAAATTAAAAAATAAGGCCTTAAGAGGCCCAGTAATGATCAAAAAGGCCCAGTTTTTGGAGCCTGAAGGCCTTTTTTGGCTCAAGCCCCTCCCCCCCCCCTAATCCGCCAGTGGAGTATGACTGTGAATGTACGACGATTGAAAAATACAATACATGAACATGCACTAATGTGAAGCTTAACGTGTTCTAGCCGCTGTTTAGAATGATTCACAGCACTGATGGACACATATTAGGCTATTATACATGGGATAAACCTTTCAGGCCCACTGTCAGAATGTATCAAGAGAGTGAGTTCGGCTTTGTATAAAAAAAACTCCTACCCACGCACCCTCTTACCCACGTACGTGGGTCCTGACCACAGAGAGCTTTTTACATGGTAAAAATGTATATTTAACTAAATATACATTTTTACACATTTTAACCATCTAAAAAGCTCTCTGTGGTCCGGACCCAGTCTTTAAAGAGTTAAATCTTTAACATTTTTTAAACATTATTCTATCTCAATGTATGCTAACATTTTACTTGAGGCAAGATGCATAAACTTGAACTCCCTGGGCTATAACTTGAAGAACGGCGTATTGTTCTTCAAACTGGACTTGAAATCTCAATTGTCACTGCTTGTGTGTCATACTCATTGGCACCTGCAAAACAGAATAATATAATAAGAATAACATCATGATGATATCAGATATCACATTTCATTTGGAGCCTTAAATATTAAACAAGGCATAAACATTAAAAATGTCACTACCCGCCATTTGTTACAGACGCTGAACGCCGACCCCAGACCGTACCCCATACTATTGATTCCAAATCTGGTTCATATTGTTAAAGTCTCCAACTTTTTTGTTTAGCGGCTAAACACCGTACACAAAAAAGTTGGAGACTTTAACAATATGTGACCACTTTTGGTGGTGACATAAAAAGGGGAAGTCCCGTCTAAATAAAACTCCTGGTTTCAAGTTTTTTGTAAACATACACCATTGCATGTTGATGGTTGTCATGACCTGCAGGTCACGATGACAAATGAATGTTACGTTGTCAATAGAATATAGCGTTTGACCATCTCTGATCATAAAAATGAGTTGATAGAAATTCAAGTAACAAGTATCAAGTTCATTTTATCACAGACTACAACCACGGTGTATAACCCAAACGCTCCTACATGCACGACGGAGCGTTTCATTTACGCGGAAACGCTCCGGAGCAAAATAAAATGGCGGCTTATGAAGATTCCACTATAACCGTCAGTATTGTTTCTCTCGTTTCTCTTACATATCATATGTTATGGTGAAGTATTATATTATGTACCATTCGATGAACAATACCGTGAGCAAAGATCTTATTTTTTCAACTTCTGGTGGTAAACTGTTATTTGCTTGATCAAAGCTCCGTAATGTAGATCGAACGAATCTGAAGATGACGATTTGACCACAAATTACGAATTAAACTAGTATTTCTATGAAACGTTAATCTTTCTGTTAAAGTAGTAGATCACAAACTCGTATATTCTCATTTCCTAAAATCCCAGTCCAAATCCATTACTTGTTCTCAAGAAATCGCTTGTTTTCCTCGAAACGCTCCGTCGATTTAGAACACAGTTTTAGAAACGCTCTTACCATTTTGTTTTGATATCATTTTCAGATTCTATTAGAGAAGAGTTCCGAATCGAATCTTTCTCTCACAAACGTGTTGTACTTGTTAGGCAAATTGAAACATCTGAACCTGGTGGTGCTAAACGTGTGCAACTAGCTGATTTAAGCCTACATTATATGATGTCATGCCTACATGTGTGCTAAATCATAAAACTATAGAAAAAACGAAAATTTATATGTGAATTAATCTCTCTTCTTTTGATGCCAAGGGGTATAATAGATCTTTTCTTTCTCTTCCTGAAAAGGAAAGGCAAGCTATATATTTCCTAAACAGATCTAGACTACCGGAGCGTTTCCAGTTCACTGTGTTAATCAGATCGGAGCGTTTCTTGAATATGAGAATGTCATCATTTTTAAGACTGGATTCTCGGTCATAAAATCACTATTACGATAATGTATGGTGCGTTGAAGCATTGGAATTTGACTAAAATATACGTTGGTGCTCTAATCTTTGCTTAACTAATGACAACTATTGATTCCAAATCTGGTTCACTGAACGGCTCAACAATTAGTAGTAAAGCGTATTTTATAGAGTCAGTAGTCTGGTGGCAGTTTAGAAATCCCGCGTTCGAACACTTATAATACTCCTAGATCTTAATATAACAATACGGTTTTTTGCTAAATGTTGTTTTTATTCACCTGTAGACGCACTTGGTGATCGGAAAATATGAACGGATCGGAGGGGGTGGGGTTGGTGAAGATTTGTTGAATTTTCTATCAAAAATGGGCTGACCTCCCTCCTCCGTTCATTTTGTCCGATCGCTGGGCGTGATAGATAATGTATTGAACGTTTTTATGTGTTTCTTATTGAACGAAATGTGTATTTTGGACTAATAATGTAATTAATAATAAATACAAGTATTTCAAGAATTGCCATACTGCACGTAAAACGGGTAGCCGTAGCTTCTTCACTGATGTACGATATACTACATGTACTTAAAAAAGTTTTGTTGCGACTAATAAAACAGATCATCTTTAATGTAAAATAACAGGGGCACTTCATATAATCAATTTTAGATACTGTATTTAGTAATGTTATGAATCCCAAACACAACGCATTAATTAAATGCATGTTTAAGTGTCAATTAGCCTATTAGAATAAATATATTAAAACTATTATGAACAGATAATTCATTGATATGTATTTATTATTCAACTCTAATCACGGTGTCCGATACTACCCAACGTAAATCGTTCCGGACTTGTTTTTCATAACCATTGGGACTTGATTTATGGAAAGAAGTAGAGGTAGGTTTGTAAATTTGGTTATGAAATTGCTTTCACTTGACTTTATGTAAATATAATACAATTAGATAACATACCATACTATATACCCTATATTCAGGCACCCGCAAACGCCTTTTTTGTACGAACCGTTTGCTATAGTCTTGTTATTTCGGGATGTGAGCGATTCTGCCAGTGTTTTCACCTATTTTGCTGATAATCACCAGCCTGCCTTGTATCCAATGAATACACCGATTCATAATGAAAGTAGCCATATTGTGAACGAAAATCATGATTTAAAATGGTTTAAATGAGTAGCAATTGTCGAAATATCATTTTTTAGATTTAACCATTTGGACTTGACCTAAATATTCCAGTTAATGACGTTGACTTGTTATTGGAACGTTTCTGACTTGTGTTATTGGAACGTTTCTGACTTGTAGAACACAATGAACCATTTTTAAGTGTGGAACAGCTCCATAAACTTTATAGATTTCCAACAAATCATCATCTGAGTGGATGAGGACAGTGGAAGAAGTTGTCTGAATGATACTATCTAAATGATCATCATTAATTAAACGTATTAAGAGATATTTGTCAAGGTTGAATTAGGGAATCATTACAGATACATGTTCTTTACTTGATACTTTCAAGGGGCAAGAATGCATGTAGAGAGAAAAGTTGATTTTTACTTTTTCTTGTGTTTTGCCTCTTCGCTTTTTTAAGGACTTCACTCGTCGCTATTTTTAATTTGCCTATGAAAAATGTGAGCATAAGTTTGCCTCAAATAAGACTTTAAAACGCCTTTATTGGCTTTAAACTGACTTCCATGCTTATATTAATGCTAAGCAAGAAGTTAAGTGAAAGTTGAGAAGAAATAATTAGTTTTAATCGTTATTTACTGTTAAAAATCTGAAGAGGACTTGGTTCAACGTATTCTTCCTCCTTTATGGAGGTACCATCATCAAATGACAGCTTTGAGCCTAATTTATCACACATCCGGAATCCATAATCCTGTGTTTTGTAACGCCATATGCCTTTATCACGAAAAGGGACGTCAAGCCTGAATAAATCGGAGGGGCGGTCCCTCTTGAAGTGTTCAAATAATATATTTTTATCTGCACTTTTAAAAGTGCATTCGTGGCACTTGTTTCTGGGAACTGAAATTACAAAATGTGTGAATATTTAGTACCAGAACTCCTCTAAAACATAATCATACTAAGTGCAATTTTTCCAGAAGCATAGACAATTCATCAAGCAACGAAACGTATAAATACCATTACAAGACAATTCCCAATCGTTGTTTGTATCACGTTGTGTACAATTCGCAGTCGTTCACCTAGTGATTATAAGACAAGACCGTGTCAGAATAACGACAATTCGCCGTCGTTAACTCCAACTTTAACATTACGGTCATTTATGGAAATTTGAAGGTACAGATAGTTAAAATATTAACACAATCTTTAATGTAGTGAATATTGTTCCACGTTGTAAAGTGATTTTTTGTTTAAACATAGTTAAATGACACTCTGAATGCAGATTTAGAGCATATTTCTGGCATTTTTGTTATTTAATGCCGATAAATATGAACTATGGTGGCACGATCGCCAAAATAGATATGTGGGAATGAAAAAGAATGTTTCAGGTAGAAGTTAGTGTATGTATTTTTCTAAACGATTGAATTATATTACCTTTTTGAGCCATTCTGATAAATGTCTCATCT